TTTCCGAAATACTTACTTCTAGTTTTATGACAATGACATATATATTTTAAATCCAACGAATATTTTTCTTAAGTTAATAAACATACCCCACTTAAGAAAAATGTTTGCCTTAAGTCTAGGATCTCTGCCTCTTTATAAAGACCATTCGAAGAGTACCTAAGTTCTATTTTTCTGAAGTATTATTTTAAAAAATAAATTTTGGACTACTTCTAGCTTTTTTAGATGAGTAAATGTTACTCCTCCCCATCCTACAACTCCATAGGAGAGGCGAGAATCAACCAATGCGTAATATAGTGTTTTGTTTTAGGAAGAGGTAAGTCCAAAATTTTTGTTAAAAATTTAAATATACCTAGTAATGACCTAAGAGTTTTGGTAACACTAATAATATGATAGTCCCAACGGATAGTCAATAGTTATTCCTAAATAGTTTACTTAATTTGTTTGTTTATTATTTATTAAGTTACCGTGATTGTTGATTTCTAGCTTTTTGTAATTAGGAAGATTATTTTTATAGCTTGTTATAGGTAAAAACATAGTTTTATCGAAGTTTATTGTAAGCAATTTGTAATTAAACCAATCTGTAATATTACTTATATCTTTTTCAATTTTTTGTTTCAGATCATTCCAGGTGTTTGCAGTATAAAAGATGACAGTATCATCAGCAAAGCTTGTTATCTCTCCAGAAGTTGTAAGTGTAGGTAGATTATTAATGTATATTGTAAAGAGAATGGGACCAAGAACTGTCCCTTGAGGAACGCCACATTGAACAATCCTTTCCGAGCTTATACTATTATCTATTTTAACACATTGTTTTTTTCCTATTAGATAAGATTTAAACAGTTTTTGTGCAACTCCTCGTATTCCCACATCCTGCAAAGAATCCAACAGCTGCGAGTGGTCCACAGTATCGAACGCCTTTGCAAGATCAAGGATACTCCTTTGGCCGACAGCTGCAGTCAACAATCTTATATAATTTTGTTGTTAAGTCTAATATTGCATGTTCTGTAGAAATACCTGTACGAAACCTAAATTGTTTTTTTAGAAATAATATTATTATTGTTTAAAAATAATTCTTACTTTGTCAAAAATTTTTTAGAAATTGTTTATTATCGAAACAGGTCTGTAGTGAATTCTATCGGACAAATTCTATTTTCTATAATTAGATTATTAGTGGCGAAGAAAGTTCGATACGAATTTCTTTTATTGTTTCGGCAGTTATATTTTTTATACCAGGACTATTATTTTTTAAATTTTTAATAATTTCTTCTTTATTTGTGTTTTTTTTTTCGAGGTGGAGGATGTCTAGCAAGGTCAGGTCCTACTTTCGAGAAAAATTCATTGAATGCTTCTGCTATTTGTAATTTATTCTCAACAACATTACCGTTTTTTGTTATTACTTCTTTTATATCAGTTATATTATTATTAGAGTTTGTTATATTTTTTATTGTTTTCCATAATTTTTGATAGTTATTTTTATTTAATTCTATCTGTGCTTTCTAATAATTAAGTTTAGTATCTTGAAAAAGGCGATTTAAATAATATCTGTAATTAATAAATTGATCTTTTAACACTTTGTTTTCTATGTCTTTTTGATATGCTTTATATAATTTATCTCTTGTGACTATTGATTTTATGAGACGTACCGTAATCCACGCTTTCTTTTTAATTAATGACCTTTCTTGTTTAAGTACAGTTGTATTTTTAGAAATAAGAGTGTTAAGAGTATTAACAAAGTAAATTGTTGCTTCTTGTACACCTGTCATACCGTATAAACCATTCCAATTATAAGAAGTTAAATCAGCTTTGAGATTATTCTTATTTAGTATATTGATAAATTTAATTTTATTCACAGGTACCTTATTATTAAATATATTTATGATTAAAATTGTAGCTCTATGATCAGTAACAAGGATATCTAGAACATAGCTAGAACAACAATCTTTGACCTGTCAATTTTTTATATTTACAAGCATGTGATCTATGCCAGTTTTCGATAAACTTTGTATTCTAGTAGGAGCATTTATGGTTGAAGTAAAACTAAACTCACTTAAAACATCTAAATACTCAGTTGAATAAACTTTATCGTCTCGAAGTATATCAATATTTATATCACCCGTAATTACATGTATATCACAATTCTTTTTAGATTCATTTAAGTAGTGGTGCAGTCAGGCCCGTAGCGAGGGGGGCGCCAGGGGGGGCTGAGCCCCCCCTAAAGCTTGTCTGCGCCCCCTAGAAAATTGCCCATATATAGGAGCGCAATTAACGGCTGTTGAAAAATACAATGAACAATGAGTCGCATCGACGATTTTTAAAATTGTATTGATTTTTTTTGGAAAATGTGAATTGGGAAAAAATGTACTTACTATAAAAATTTTATAGTAGAACCGTTTTATCAATATATTTTTAGTAATGGTTCTGAGCATAGATATATAACCAAGACAGATAGGATTATTTACAAAATTTTTGAAGAATGAACGGTGGTGTCCGCGGTAGAAACTCAATAATCGGATTGAACATTGATGCCAAGTTTACGTGCTTTTAACTATAGATATATATAACCAATACAGATTACACAATTTCTGAAGTCAACGCGGATGATCCTCGACAAAAATGCAATATTTGGATAAAATTAAAATATTGATGCCAAGTTTTTAACTGTAGTAATGTTATTGCGTTTGCTTGAATTACTGTTAGGTCTTTAAATTGTCAAAAAAAAATAATGTCTGACAACAGCGGAAGTTGAGTAGACCGCAATTGTGGAGGGTCGTATATTGTTTCATTCATAAAAATTCCTTCGATACAGTACTAGTCCAGGAGCCAGTGAATTTTTTCGTACTTGTTTTCCCGGTCCGTGTATATTTAAATAATCTATTCCCGGTGAACTGTATATTTAAAATGGAACGCCAATCTATTAACAAAAGTAAGCCAGATTGAATTCGCGCATTACGTCACATCGATACAAGTGAGATTGTTTACAAAGTGCCTTTGTAGGCCTATTTTGCCCATTTCATGTATTTGTTTTTAAATCATGTTAAATTACTATTTTTGAAACTCAACAAGGAGAAAATCAAATTAACTCTTCCGTTGTGTATATATATAAGATAAATTAACTGAAGTTTTATTAGTAAAGTATTAATACTAAAATTTTAATGTAATATACAGAAAATAGCTAGGTATGTATTTGTTTTTAAATAATTTGATAATTTATGAAAAAAAAAGGGAGTAAAAGTGGAATGACCAGTGGCCAGTAGGTCAGTCAATATAAAGTATCATATATTTCTATTATAACATAACTAAAATACCTACATCTTTTAATCATAAGGACATAAGTTAAAAACCATTTTAATATATGCATTAGAATGAAGTAATAATAAATTAAAGAGACGAGGTCTTAAAGTAATAGCTGGTACAGCATGTTTTTTAAACGTTTCCTCATTGCTGCTAGAATGAAATCACTATGAAATGTGCTCTAAAAACGGAATTTATAGCAGTCAGTGTTCAGTCTTAGGATCTCTTCCTAAAGCCCTCATCCAAGCTGCATACATATTAAAAAATAATTTAAAAAAAAACATATTATATACCTATATAGTTTTCGGTTCTGGGTGCCCTAAAAGAGGACACTTAGCCGACAATTTGGCTCAGATAGCTGAAACCCAAAAGTCACACCCCGAACCAGGACGTATTGCTATCCTTTTAAGTAAAAAATAACTACAAATAACTTACCTGAAAAATTAAGGCGTCTAACTTTACACCAAAAAAACCATACACTTTTTCCCATTGTTGCAAGCACCCGATGACGATTAGGTAGATATCAACTAGAAGCATGTACTTAATGGTTATAAAGCTTATTTTAACACAAAAAGAATAAAGCACTAGTCGAAAAGCAGCAATCAAATATAAATAGACCACAATTTTAAAATTCAAATTAAAAACTATATAAAAGACAAATACTCTAAAAGCGTAAAAGATCAGAACCAAATAAAATGAATAACCATAATAACCTAAAAATCACACTAAAATTGCAAAAACTATTACTGTAAAATCATGAGATTACATCAATAATGCATATGCGTCGGAGTATCGCAAATGTCAAAAGAACAGTGTTTCCATGAAAATTTAGCTATGTTTTTAGCAGTATTATAGGACCATTTCTACCACGCGCATCCAACGATATTGGCGTTCCACAGTTCACTGTATTTTCCTCACACCTCTAGTATAAATGATTTGACATAACGAAACTAACAATAATTATAATTAATGTAGAGTAATAAGTGATTCGTGAATTCTAAATAAAACAATTATTATATACAAGTGTAAAAGAAAATGTAATTTATTTCCCTATTTTCTTCTGTAATATCTTCAATTATTATGTTTAATTTCTATAAATAAACCAACTGGTTAGGTGAAACATTGTGATATAAGATTTTATTTATGTGTCCTATGCGTACACTTTAATATACAAAACACCTGGAACATTCTTTAAATAATTGTGGTCGTAGAAATAATTGTGTACATAACTCGTTTGAAAGTGTATTTTATGCACTTGCCAAATATATTATCCATACAGATTAATCAGACTATTTTTTTACTTAACTTCAGTACATCTCTTACTGCTAAAACTATTTTTATCAATGGAAAAAAAGGGCCGTGTTCTCGTATGTTTTGACGCATTTTCGGCCTCAGCCCATCGGATCCCCCCTCTAAATATATATGAATTTTGCTTAGAATTGCTAATCCTACAATTCTCTATTCGTACTTGCTGACTGGGAAAATAAATACCGAAAATCGTCACTGTCTCCTGGACTATACAATAGATGATGATGAGAACTTCACAACAAATACACTTTTATGAATGGCTAGTTGGGGATGTGGTTCTGAGTCACTTATATTCTCTTACAAGAAAATACTTTATTAACAGTTAATTTTTTTGATCTTTAGCTACGTGTAAAAAAATAATAACTATATATAAATGTAACGCGTGTGATGAGAAAACTTACATGTCTCAACAGGCATTAAAAAAACATGATAGAAATGTTCATAATTTCTTAAAACAAGTGATTTATGAATGTGAAAAGTGTAATGAAGCTTATACTTCCAAGCGAAAATTAAGAGATCACTTTAGGGTACATTATAATAATAATAATAATAATAATAATAATAATAAAAAAAAACAGTTTAAATGTAAAGAATGTGGAAAGTGTTATTCTTTACAAAAATATTTGCACGAGCATTTCAAGAAAAAACATAGACCTAACGGTGTAGATACTGAAATACATTCATCTAAACCTTCATGTACATACCAGTACCATAATTGCGACTTAACGTTTGTTTTAAAATTAGATATTATCAAACATGTAAAAATTCACCAAATATCTCACAAGAATCTTTTGTATCCAGTACAAGAATGCAACCAAGATTATAACAGATATGTAACTATTCGCAGCCACCTTACAGAAGAGCATAACTTACATTTAAGAAAAGAAACAGTTGAGTTTAGCAACAAAACTGGTATGTTATTGTCTAATAACTTTTATATTGGGTGTTTCAATAAAATAGTTATTAAGTATTATAATCAGAATAATCCGTATTATGGGATTGCACTGCAGCAGTCACCATTTGGCCACCATATAGCCAGTCACTGTATTGTCGCTGTCGTTTGTTTTCGTGCTCCGTCGCAAAATAATGACGCCATGGATGCAAAAGCCAAATAACGCCAAATGTTTTTACTGCGATGATCCACTGGTGGAAAAGTTAATAGATTTTTAAAATCTAGTAATAAACAGTGTTGCCAACTTAAAATCTAGTAAGGAAAGCAGTGCCACCAACCTAAGATAAAAAAGTTACTAGATTATGAAAACGTACTAAATCTAGTGACAAAAATGCCTTTTGGGACCTTAGAAATTCCCAAGAAAATTAAAAATGAAGAGATCGTTATTTTTTAAGAGGACAAATTAATACAATTAAGAAATAAAATAAATTTATTGTATTTATAATAATTGGAGATAATACAAAATTCGGCAAAAAAGATGGTTAGATTAAAAAGAAAGTACTTATTTTAATTGTGTACTGCATTAAGTATTATAAAACAATTCTGCACAAAACCCAGTAAAACGTAATAACCATTCGTTATTATCCAGCTTATTAATGTGATCAAACGCGATTCATAATCTCAACGATAAAATGGCTTCCATATTATAGTATCAGCATCTACCACAGTTCATAACGCTAATGACATTAATATGAAGGCTTATCTCCGACAATCTACATAGAGCTTAATAGAAGTAGTTAAGGGATTTACTTCATATGTATTCATTAAATCGTAATATTCACTGTTTCTGTTATCTATTGTGCAAAGAAAATGTTTAATAATTGATTCCGGTTTTGACAATGTAAAATTTCGACGAACATTTTACATCAGAATTTTATTTTTAGACTTGAGAGCCGTTCTACCTTAGATAAAAGAAACAACAGATGAAGCTTTTCATTCTTTACGTATCATATGTTTGGTCCCAATCATTGAACTAGAGAAAGTAGATATTTTATGCGGATTAAAAGAAGACAGAATATAATCCTAGATCTCGTCTGGCAACACTGTTGTTACACGCAACTAAAAGTCTGTCGATATCAGTGGCGTATCTTATTAAAGATAAAATCATAACTTTTCGATTTTTGTGCGTAAAAGATTATTAATTTGCAGTAACTACTAATTTTCTGTAAACTAAATATAAGCAACTAAAGCATGCAATACTTACCTATATATTTATCATGGTTTAAAATTTAAAATCAATTGGATTTGGAATAGAGTAGAGGAGAAGCTTGTACCTTGGTCCACCTTCTACCTTGGGCCATTAATACAATTTCAAATTTAGGAAGTAAATCGCAATGAAATCCTCATTGTTAGTATCCAGAGTAAATACTCCCTCTTTAATGCTTCAAAGGCAATTTGAAAGCTTCGTCTCAGCAGAATTCTCTCGTCTCTTCTATAAGTCGTGTTTATGGCATAGCAACATCAGCGAACTTACTTATGAATCTTCGATAGTATGTACAGAGCCGAAGAAAACTTCTAAATTCTTATTTGATATTTATCAGTTGATTGTAAAGCGACTTTCCCCTTATCTACAGCGACGCCATCCTTATTGACTATATAACCAAGGCAATTAACTTTAGTTGGCACTTCTTGGAGTTTAGCATCAGATGGCCAGCTTAGTATTTTAAAAAAAACATCTTCTGAGTTCTTTGGATGTTCATCAAATGTCTTTCCCAAGAATATGATGTCGTATAAATACACAAGGCATGTTTTTCAAGATAATCCTCATAAAACATTTTCTATAAGTCTTTCAAATGTCGAGGGGGCATTACATAGTCCAAACGGCGTGACCTTGAATTGTTACAATCCAGATCCGGTAGTAAAAGGATGTCTGTTCTTTATCTATTTGGTCCATTTCCACCTGCCAGTATCCAGACCTCAAGTCTAAGGTAAAAAATAGTTTAATTCCGGCTTTTGTGTCCAAGGTATTGTCGACTTGAGGCACAACATAACTATCTTTCTTGGTAACATTGTTCAACTGACAGGATGCGAGAGAAAAATTCGAGTTGTTTCGACCGTGATTCGAGTCGGCAGCGATAGTGGCATCACAGACAGCGCGGCTTCTTGCAAGTAGAAGTTTATGGTCGGAGCGGTTCTAGCACGACATTACGAATCTTTAATTGTTCAAATTATGCTTTATTGTTTTACGTTCTCTATTATGTTAGTACTTTACAAGGAACGTCCGGATATCTGCTATCTTTTATAATTCTTGAACCTTAATGTACAGTTATTTTCTTGTAGTTCTTGGGTTTTTAGGTTCTTGTAGATCAAATAAAAATCGTGTGTGTGGTTATAGCTTTCGACACTGATCAATCAGTGCATTCTTCAGTAGTTTTAATTAAGCAAATTTATTTTTCCTTTTAATTAAAACATTGTTTTTCTTATAAGAGTTAACGTTATACGAATTCTTTGGTACAGAATTGGGTTGTGTCATTATTATGCATTTACTAAAGAATACGTGTTAGTTATCTTATCCATTGTAGGAAAATGATGCATTACTAAAACTTTTATGATAAATATCTGAATTCGTTCCAACTTTTCAAATATTATCATAAAAATACTTCATTATATCCGCCACAATAGACAAAATAATAAAATAAAATAGCACTAAACGTTCTGAATCTTTTTCATTGCAAATTGAAATTTTCCACGTCACCTTGGCTATGCGACTAGCAGAGCTTTTCAAAACAAATAATTCTTTGAAATGTACTTTGTCTACGTCACTCAAATGTTCGGTTAAATGGTAGCGCAGACGTTCGATTATTGGAATGATTTAGAATGGCAGTATGTTTGAAAAAGACTGACGTTCCTTTACATTTCGAAACGAGAAACTGCAAATGGTCTAGATTTATTAGTTTTTTTTTTTAAACAGATATATTGCGGGTAATCATAGCTCTGCGGGTTGTTTCAACTTTTGTTTTTGTACAATTTTTTACCTATGTAGAGGTTAATTTAGATTTTAATATTTATTTGAATGAAAAAGACTAATTTCAGGTTGTAATTTATTCATTTTAAGCCATCAAGTATTATTTTAGATAAATAGTCTTATTTCTATTTTCAATATTTATTTTCAACCTCTAAACTAAAATACTTAGTTATATATAGTTGTTATTTGTAAACCTCTATTTATAAAGACTCTTGAAAAATACTAATATTAAGGAAATAAGTCCTAACAAGGTAACGAAAGAAAAAAACAAAGAAGAAAATAAAAAAAAGAAAGAAGCACAAACTACAAGCACCGAAACACCGAGCAGAAAACTTGGCAAAAACAAAGAAAGTATACTTAAACCAAGAACAAGACTAGGAAGCAAAAATTTTAACAACTACTTTACTGAAGTAGGTGTAACTCTTGCAGAAAATATAAGCCTTCCTGACATTCCTCCAACTAGGAGAAATATTCAGAAAAATTCCATTGTTCTATTGCCTTTAACAAATTTTGAAATCAAAAACATAATAAAGTCCCTAGCAAAACAAAAAATCACCCGGAATAGATAATATACAAACAGAATTATTAAAAGAGAATTTAGAAATATTTACCCCATTCTTAACTCATTTAGTTAATAAAATATTACTGCAAGGAAAATTTCCCATTGAACTAAAAATATCGTTAGTGATACCAATATTTAAAAAGGGCAATATCTTTAATCATCACTTTTGCAAAAGTTGTAGAGAAAGCACAAAATTTAAGATTACAAGAATACATTAATAAATATAAAATAATTTCTACAAAACAATTTGGATTTCGAGAGGGTATTTCTACAACTGATGCAATTTTAGAGTTGACCAAAAGGGTTTGTCAGTCGGTGGACAGTAATAAACCAAATCTAACTATTTTCCTGGATTTAGCCAAGGCCTTCGATGCTATACATCACGAACAGTTATTGCTTGCCTTGGAAGATGCAGGAATACGGGGAACGGCATCCAAGCTTTTTGAAGACTACCTTAATAATCGATATCAACAAGTTAAAGTAAAAGATGAGTTTAGCGAAAGCAAATTAATTAAAACTGGTGTAACACAAGGGACAGTCCTTGGTCCTGTACTATTTTCAATATATGTAAATAACTTGTATATTCAAAAGACTACAGGCCAAATTGTAAGCTTTGCTGATGACACGGTTTTAATGTACACTTACAAACATAAAGATATTTTACAAAAAAAGACCTTTAACTATCAAACAAGAGGTAAAAATACAGGAACGGTATATACTCACCTTGTTAATAAGTCAACTTCACAAAGATTTTTTTTATTTTTAAAAAAAATATTTAATTTTCTTCCCGAAATATACAAAATATATTTGCTTACTCATTTCAACTGATCAAAACTTTAATAAGAGAATATATTGTAAATGCAGACAGAAAAACAATTAATTTTTTTTATGAATGTGTTCTTTTTTTCATACACCGTTGTAAAGATGCTTCCAAGACCTTACAAATGAAGTATCACTCAACCCCTCTTCCCTATTCAATTTTGAGGGGTTGAAGTGCCCTCTCATAGGGGGTTGCAAGTTCAAGCCTCAAATATACGTCAAAAGATGTCCCCCAAAGAAAGTCATCAAATATGTTTCGGGAAATTTTTCCAATTACTATGGGATAAGAAATATACGGGGTGGCTCGTCTGAGATGGAACACCCTGTATAGTGCATTAATATTAACGTATTGAATAAAAAGATTTTAAAAATAGATATAATATAATATAATGTGACTTAAATAATTACAAAAATTAATATGAACTAATTAGGTTTTTTTATAATATACAGGGTGTCAATTTGAAAACTTTCAATGCGAATATCTCGCAAAATAAAGAAGTTGGAGAAACGCCGTTTGGCACAAATGTTATAGAGTTAGGGAGAACTAGAACCACCATATTTCAGTGAAGGGGTGAGTCACCCCTTAGGCGCGACACACCCCAACTTTAAAATGT